AGGGCTCTTCTTCCAGAAATGTGAATTTCCAGGCCCCTGGGTTAGGGATACCATGGGGGGGGGGGGGGGGGGGGGGGGCTCGACTTATATACTGAAAATGAATTGTTTGAAATCTCCCTGCTCCTTGGTATAAATCAAACATTTTTGATAAGCAAGTGTGCCTTTTCAAAAAATTTTGCAATGTGTGGACCTAGGGTCAGGGGTTCATGTGTGGACTGGGCACCTCTGATTATTGCTGAATATTACTGATTAGTTAATATGCATTTTTTGTTCCCCTACCTTGGCTATTAAGGAGGCTTGGGGGTCAACAAATTAAAAACAAATTAACCACCAGATATAACTTACATTTTTAGATATGATATCTTTAGCTGTCAACTATCATTTGACAAAGAAATTCATACATATCAATTTTAAAATTTGATTATTTTGGTATATCTTTATATGGAGATCTTCTTCTAAAGGAGATTGAAATATTCTAAAAATGGCAACGACCACCCAGCCCCTTTAAGTAACCGAACTAAGCAATTACTAAGTTTATAGTTATGATTAGCAATGGTGCCAGCCTCTTTCAAAATTAAGAATGCCAAAGCATCTACCTTAAAACATGAACTAAATTCAATCGTTTGAAAGTTGTTGTATGATTCTCAGGTGACCTATAAGGCCCATGGGCCTCTTGTTTATTATTACTATTTTATTTTTTTTATTATTTATTTATTTTTATTTTTTTGCTGCCTTAATGATGTTAATTTTAACACGTAATCAGATAGTAACCCCATTCCGTCAGTGCTGAAAAAGTTCTTATTGTAAATTTAGAAGACACCCCTGTCAACGCGCGATCGGCAACGCAGATCAAAAGATTGAAGAAGAAAGTATTGTAGGGGGTAAATTTAAATAGTTTTGTATGTGCTGGAGTGTAACCAGCTGAAAATAAAATTAGAAAACATTTAATTTAGATAATTATCTACAGTTTAGGATTTACCAAGAGTAAATTTGTTTCACAGTTTCTGTGCAAATGCTACCGATCAAAGCGACAATGTTCGAAATATCAAATTTTCATGCTTTGAAATAGTTTATTGTTGTTATTACCTACGAACATTTGCTGCTTTTGTTATGTAACGGTTCTTGGAAGTATGAACTAAATGATTTTAAAATTAAAACTACAAACATTATCTTAAAACAAATTTTAACTGGAAAATTTGACAACCGCGAGGCGATCGTCAACGACATGTATCTTTTTATGAAGCGATCATACAACATAGAAATAGCAATCGTACAACACACAAAATAAGAATAGCTCAAATCAGAGAATCTTGTCTCAAAAAGTTTATTTTGATATACAATAGATATTTTACATTTAAATTAGGCAATCAGTCATTGTTATATACCTTTTAAACTCTTAAAATTGCCCTACAGTAATATAGAAAATTGAAATTAATTACGTAGATTAAAGAGATACAATTGAAAAAGAGTTTGATGGCTAACAAAAATGTAAAGTAGAAATTTTACCTCAATTTTCATAACAGTGTCAACCCCCCCCCCCCCCCCCCCAAAAAAAAAAAACCCCTAAATATCTTAGATGGTTTATCATGCAAAGTGTAAGTAAAGGAACATTTTCTAAACTCAAAATTCAGTTTCGGAAATGTGTTGTGTGGGATGGAGGGAGGGGTGTTATGATTCAAGTTCTTGAACAACCAACTTTTATCCAAAAATTACCAGCTGCCTTACCCGGATTTGACTATATACTGCAAAAGGGGGACAACCAGTCTATTGGTTTAGCCCCCCCCCTTTCAATTTGCTTCCGACGCCTATGAAAGTAAAGTTTTCACCCCACCCCACCCCCGATTCTACAATTCTGTACATGTACGTGCATGATATTAAAATTGGCAATTAATAAAAAAAAAATACTACTACTAATAATAATAACAGTTTTCAGTAAATTAAAAAATATCCTGTTATACATAATGCTGTTATATTAACACGTGCGTGTACAACACATTTTTACTGAAAACATTTAATGAAAATATTCAGTAAAATTGCTAGGTATGCAAATTCCTTTGATCGTTATTTTCACAGTATTAATACATATCTTCTTTATTTTCTGAAAAAAAAAATCAGTTTTTGATATGTATGCCAATTCCTGTAATTGAACTGCCATTTCATATACAATAAAATTTTTTTTGTCTATATTACTAAAAATTCTGTCCTATAACACTCTATAGGTATCTGTTATAAACAATAATCAAATAATATCAAGTTTTAGGGTTCCATGGAGTTTTAAATTTTGTTCTCTTAAAATACGGACATTATTCAACTAATATACAAGAATGTCAGTTAAATTCGCTCTTTCCCTCTCGAAAATCAAATGCTAGGTATCTCGTTCTATTTCGACAGACTTTCCACCCACACCACATGGCTATCTATTACTTTATTTCATTAAAAGTATTTTATAAATTCCAAGTTGCACGATCGCATGTTTATCATATTTTCTTTGTTGTACGATCGCATATAGAGTCGTTGCCGATAGCCAAAACGTTTTGCAAGTGTGCACTCTAAAACAATATTTAAACGCTTTCTATTTGATTAAGAACTTCAAATCGGATTTAAAATTTGATTTACCTATTTACAATGCAAATGTGCCTTTTGGACTGTCGGGTATACGTAATAAGGTAAGAAATACCACTTAAACGAGCTTCGTGTGTCACGTTAGGGCAGTCATGTTCAAGGAAAACTTAAATTCAACATAATATATGGTGATTTTTAATGCGTAGAGGACATTTATGGTGTTAAACATGTCTAGTAGCATTTAAAAAGTCAGAAATGTTGAAGGAAAATTGCAAGGAAATAGGACAAAATAATGTTTTATTTAACCTCATCTTCCTCATGTTATTGAATTTAACTATCGGCGTTGCAGATCACATCAGCATTGCCGATCGCGCGTTGACAGGGGTAGACGAAAAGGATTAGAGAGCAGTACAATTAATCCCCTGGGATTTATTATCTTGCTTGCTACAGAAAATTTAGAGGCTTATCTTAATCTGTCACATGAAGATTAATGAACACCTTTGTCTGCAACTGATGTTTGTTTTGAAGTTGAGATCAACCCTGGGTGATATTTGCATTCACTGAAGGCTTGCATTTTATAAAAAATTTCCTGCTTAAATCTTTTTTAAATACACATTTAATTTAGTTTTGTTTATAAGACATGAGGTTTTCCCTGTTTTATGTAAATACAAGGTCACTATTTATAGGTTTTTGGACATTCAGGAATTATCTTGAAATTTTCAAAATATTGTTACAGTAACAGTTGTTACTTATAATCTTCATATATTTAAAAAGAAAAAAAGTAATCAAGTAAAACTCTCATTCAATGAGCTGCACCCTTATATTTCTACCTCTCAGCGGGGCCCTTGCTGACTGGTCAGTTTTTTAGTTTCAACTTGACAGAGTTTTAATCAACTTTTAACAAAAATTGAACCATGTCAGTAACTTTTGAACAGTAATAGTGCTAGGCCTATTATATTTCACAGGTATTTACCTTGCAACATGGCCATTTCTTGGGTATCTACAATTCTGACCCATGGACCCTGACCCATGAGTTTGGTCTTTTTTTTTCAATTTTGATATTGGCCATTGCTTTTGAAATAGTTCCAGGGCTTTTCTATTTCATGGGTGTGTTCCTTGTTTGAAAACTTTCCTTTGGTTACCAATAATTTTGACTCTTCACTTTAAGATTTGAACTTATTTTCAAAACAAGAGGCCCATGGGCCACATCGCTCACCTGAGCACTAAGGGTAGGAAAAAGTAGAAAATGATTTTTTATTGTAAAGTTTAAATCCAAAAGTAGTCCCATGACCAATCATGGATTTGTATTTTTTAGAAAATAATTTTTAAAGAATTTTCCTATATATATCTTTGAAAACTTTGGTCGGCCATTTTGGCCCCACCTTACCCCCGGGGGTCATTATTTGAACAAACTTGAATCCACACTACCTGAGCATGCTTCCATATAAATATGATGAATTATGGCTTTGTCATTCTTGAGAAGAAGATTTTTAAAGAATTTTCCTATATATTTCTATGTAAAACTTTGGTCGGCCATTTTGGCCCCTCCTACCCCCAGGGGTCATGATTTGAACAAACTTGAATCCACACTACCTGAGCATGCTTCCATATAAATATGATGAATTATGGCTTTGTCATTCTTGAGAAGAAGATTTTTAAAGAATTTTCCTATATATTTCTATGTAAAACTTTGGTCGGCCATTTTGGCCCCGTCCTACCCCCGGGGGTCATGATTTGAACAAACTTGAATCTACACTACCTGAGGATGTTTCTCCATAAGTTTCATCTTTCCTGACACAGTGGTTCTTGAGAAGAAGATTTTTAAAATATGCCACCAAATTTTCATTTATTCCAAATTATCTCCCCTTGAATGAGGCTGGGCCCTTCATTTGAACAAACTTGAATCCCTTTCACCCAAGGATGCTTTGTGGCAGGTTTGGTTGAAATTGGCCCAGCGGTTCTTGAGAAGAAGTCGAAAATGTGAAAAGTTTACAGACAGACGGACGCCGGACAAAATGTGATCAGAAAAGCTCACTTGAGCTTTCAGCTCAGGTGAGCTAAAAAACTTTAATCTTAGCCTTAACTCTAAAATTGTTGATTCAAATGCCTTCTTGTATCACAGGCGTTTCTTGTAATAATACCTTATTTGGGTATAATTATTTCTGATCTCTGAAATGTTAAAATTATTGCTATTTCTGGAATTTTGCAATTTAATTAAAATTAGATGTCAGATCTGTTAGTGTAGTGAGTATGCGAGCAGATCTAACATCTTATTTTAATTAGATTGGGAATTTTGCAATATCCATGTTTGAACTAAATGAAATTTTCTTTGTACATATATCTTTTTATACACAATCCACTTCTTCATCGAAAATTCCATACAATATTGTACATAAATGTATTAAATTGTATATTGATTGATTTTGGTGGATTTTTAGGTGGGACCACAGTGGTTACAAGGAGTTACATCCAGAAGAATTCCAAAGTGGATCTGAGACAGACAACAAATGTAAAAGTTCTGAGTAAGAATACATAAACACACAAGTTTGTATAAGTAACATTGTGGGCCTTATTCAGAAAAGTTCAAATCAATTTATTATGTTCCCCAAACGAAGTTGGGGAACATATTGTTTTTACTCTGTTTTTTATTAAGGTCTTCCGTCTTCACGGAAGACCTTATAGTGATTCTACTGTTTCTTATTATTATTATGTTCCCCAAACGAAGTTGGGGAACATATTGGTTTTACTCTGTTTCTTATTATTATTATTATTATTATTCTTCTTCTTCTTCCTGGAACTTTTTTGTCCGGGAATGATCTTGTAAACTGTTCGTCCGATGTAGGTAAAACCTTTTTAGGGTTAGTAGACATGTTATGTAGATTTGCGGAATCAAGGTCATTTTGCGCGCACGTGCTTGCAAGAGCGTGCACGTGCAACACGTGAAATGACCAATATAATAGATATAGCCACAACTGTTCTATTTTTAGATGAAATGCTTTGAAACTCATAATGTGAGGATATATTAGTAGTATAGACATGACAACATGGTGAAAATAGCAAGATCTCACGCGCATGCACGTGCACTTCGCTCTGATTGGCTGACACTAAAGTCTCAATATCTTTCTTGTTTTTTGACGAAATCCTTTGAAATTTTGAATATAGCCATGCATTAGGATATCCTACAACATGAAATAAAGCAATTATCATGAAAACACGTGCATGCACGTGCGCTGCAATCTGATTAGCTGAAACTTTAAACAGCTATAACTCCCTTGGTTTTCAACCAAACAGGATGGGATTTGGAACATAGATAGATATAATGGACTTCTACAAGTAGGTATGGTCACCATGCACATGCAAACACGTGCGTGTACATGGGCTGCAATCTGATTGGCTGAAACTTTAAACAGCTATAACTCCCTTAGTTTTCACCCAAAAGGGGTGGAATTTAGAACATAGATAGATGTAATGGACTTCTACAAGAAGGTATGGTCACCATGCTCATGTATGCACGTGCGTGCATGTGAAATGAGTAAAATCAAACATACACTTGAATGAGCGTATTTTTTAAAAATAATTTTGGATTAAATACTTTAATATTCAGTGTATTAAAAATATAGATTGTGTAGAAAAGATGATATGGTCATGACGCACATGCATTCACATGTGCACGCGTGCAATGCTAAAGTTTAAATGATTTTTGTACACTTCTTTGTAAATGTTGTTAAAATCTCAGATGCATAGAGTTTGTCTTATTTAATGAAGCTTACAGGGAATATGGCACCAAAACGGAGTTGGGAGCATTTGGGGAACATCTGTAACGGTCCCTGTTACAATTAGCACTAGTTATTATTATTCTTATTTTTTAGACAAATTTTGTGCACGCGATATCTCGAGAACTATTCATCGGTTTTTTATCAAACTTTCAGGGATGATGCGCTCTTATATGCCATTGATAATTTTGGAAGAATTTTGGAACAACTCGCTTTTGGTGCCAAGTTATGGGCATTTTCCTGATTTTAAAATGAAATTTTGTCAGTTCGAGATCTAAAGAACTACTAAAGATATGAACTGGAGACTTATTGGAGAACATAGGGCATGACTTCTAGATATGCGGAATGTCCTTTTCGTGTGTCGTCAGTACTTACGGTCGCTACCGGAAGCGAATTAAAAAAATCAAAATTTTCAACTTTTTTGTTTTTCATTATTTTTCTTTGATTTTTATAGGGTTAATAGAGACTCCTAAATGAATGCGAAATGTGTAATTTGTTTTAGAATTAAAGAAGACAATCTCGAGATATTCGCATTTAAAAATTTGAAGCGGTGTTCCCGATGGCGTAATGGTTAGCGCGTTGGATTTTCACGCGGGCGACCCGAGTTCGATCCCCAGTGTGACCGATACTTTTTTCCGACTTTTTCAGCTAGATTTTTCGTTTTTTTTATTTCAGAATCGGACGGAAGACCTCTCGTTGCTCGCAACGAGATCGTTTCTAGTTAAGGTCTTCCGTCTCCAACGGAAGTCCTTATTGTTTTCGTTCGGTTTCTTTTTCCCTATTATTATTATTTTTCTTACCGATTTTGTGCAAGCGATTTCTCGGAAACGGCTCGCTTGATTTTCACCAAACTTTCCGATCTGATAGATATTCATCTGAACCTTGTCGGAAATTTTCGACGTTGATGACGTTACTTCCGGTCGTGAGATATGGACGATTTTCTGATTTTTAGAGGGTCAGCTTGTCCTGAGATCTCCTCCTAAACGATTGAAGATATCGACTTGAGATTTTCAGTGAAGGTAGAAGAAGGATAGTAGATGTGACATTTTGCATATAGAGCTTTCCAGGTGAAAAGGCATCGACGCTCGCCTGGGCTCGAAAAATGGGCTCATACGCATCTCGCAAAAATTGATACGTTTTCTTTTATATCTTTTTACTGGTTAATATTTTGTTAAAACATATATAATAAAAAATGTGCAATATAGTAAGCCCTTTCATTTGATATCAAGAAAATGGGGTTAGCCCTTCAAATTAGGGGCATAGAGGGGCCAAAAGTCTCTCGTCTTTAACTCTTTAATGATCAATATTTTGTGATACATTACTGAAGCAAAGATATTCAACTTAACAATTTGCAACAATATATACTAATAATTTGATCATATGTTTCGTAATAAAGGGTCACAAGGTGCTAGAATGCTGAATCTTTGACGCTTTATATCTCGAAAAACGTGAATATTTTGATAAGCAATATTGAACAAAAGATGGTCAAAATAATGTTCCCAACTTTATGCATACTTTTAATTTGTTCAATTTTTTCCGTCGACATTTCCGTTGTAAACCGGAAGTACATGTAATTTAAATACATGTACGTGTATAGCAATTTTTTTTCCATTTTCTAATGAATGTAATTGTTCATTGATTCGTAGCATCTTAATGTTTCCACCGGAAGTACGGTTCGTTCAAACCGGAAGTTGTCTAAAAATGAGTATTTTCCATCGAAACTTTCAGGGATGATTACTGCATGCTTGATGTAGAGTTGAAAGTAGCTTTGAGCACATGCAGTCGCACCGGAACTGAAGAAGTAGAACCGGAAGTTGATTGGAATTGATAGATCCTACATTTTTGTATGTTTCTAAACATAATTTGGAGAATTCTTGCGCTTTTTGACATTTTTTATCCCATGAGTGGAACTATCCCAACACAGGTCTTATTCCATCAGATATCGGAAGGAAGATCTACTCGTTGCTTGCAACGAGATCGCATCTAGTTAGGGTCTTCCGTCTCCAACGGAAGAACCTTCTATTATTCTATTGTTTCTTTTTCACTATTATTATTATTATTATTTTTCTTCGTCCAAATTTTGTGCAGACGATTTCTCAGAGATGCATGGACGGATTTCCTTGAAATTTTCAGAGATGATGTATCATGATCTAATCTTGATCCATTTTTTTTTATTTTTGAAAAATCACTTCCGGTCAGAAGTTATCGCATTTTAATCGAATTTTTAGTGACCATTTTGTCGACACAAAAACTCAAAAACAACAAAAGCTAGAATGTTGTCGTTTTCAGGACTAATAGATGACATGCTGTAGTTTTGCATCATACTTTCAAATTTTCCGTCATTGCTTCCGGTCGATACCGGAAGCGAATTTAAAAAAACGCAATTTTTCAACTTTTTTGTTTTCCAATATTTTTCTTTGATATTAGATATCTTAACAGTGACTCTTTTGCGAATGCGAAATATGTAATTTGTTTTAGAATCAAAAATGGCAATCTCGAGATTTTCGTATTTAAAAATATGAAGCGGTGTTTTCAATGGCCGAATGGTTAGTGCGTCGGATTGTTCGGGGGGGCGACCCGGGTTCGCTCCCCCGAATGTGCAATTTGTTTTATCACTTTTTCTGCTAGATTTTTCGTTTTTTACTTCAGAATCGGACGGAAGACCCACTCGTTGCTCGCAACGAGATCGTATCTAGTTATTATTATTTTTCTTCTTCTTCCTGGGTACTTTTTTGTCCGCAAGTGATCTTGTAAACTATTCACCCGAAATAGGTAAAACCTTTTTAGGGTTAGTAGACATGTTATGTAGATTTGCGGAATCAAGGTCATTTTCCGCGCACGTGCTTGCAAGAGGGTGCACGTGCAACACGTGGAAATGACCAATATAATAGATATAGCTGTAACTTTTCTATTTTTTGACTATGTGCTTTGAAACTCATAATATAAGTATATATTAGTGCTATAGGCATGATGACATGTTCCTCGCGCACGTGCTTGCAAGAGCGCGCACGTGCAACACGTGAAATGACATATAATAGATATAGCCGCAACTTTTCTATTTCTTGATGAAATGCTTTGAAACTCATAATATGAGGATATATTAGTAGTATAGACATGATGACATGGTCAAAATAGCAAGATCTCACGCGCATGCGCATGCACTTTGCTTTGATTGGCTGAAACAAAAGTATCCATATCTTTCTTGTTTTTCGACAAAATCCTTTGAAATTTTGAACATATTCATACACTATAAAGGTCTACAGCATGACATAAAAGAATTATCATGAAAACATGCGCATGCACGTGTGCTTCAATCTGATTGGCTGAAACTTTAAATGTCTGTAACTTTCTAAGTTCTCAACGAAACGGGATGAAATTCAGAATATGAATAGGTATAATTGATTCCTACATTATGCTTCTAGATTTGCAGAACAAAGGTCATTTTGCGCGCACGTGCTTGCAAGAGCGCGCACGTGCAACACGAGAAATGATCAATATAATTGATATAGACGTATTTTTTAAAATTTTTTGATGAAATGCTTTGAAACTCATAATATAAAGATATATTGGTAGCGTAGACAATATGACATGGTCAAAATAGCAAGATCTCACGCGCATGCACATGCGCTTTGCTCTGATTGGCTGAAACTAAAGTCTCAATATCTTTCTTGTTTTTTGACAAAATCCTTTGAAATTTTTAACATAGCATGCATTAGGATATCCTACAGCATGATATATAGCAATTAATATGAAACACGTGCATGCACGTGCGCTGCAATCTGATTGGCTAAAACTTTAAATAGCTATAACTCCCTTGGTTTTCAACTAAACAGGACGAAATTTGGAACATAGATAGATATATGGACTTCTACAAGAAGGTATGCTCAACATGCACATGTATACACGTGCGCGAACGTGTGCTGCAATCTGATTGGCTTAAACTTTAAACAGCTATAACTCTCTTGGTTTTCAAACAAACGGGGTGGGATTTAAAACATAGATAGATGTAATGGACTTCTACAAGAAGGTATGGCACCATGCTCATGTGTGCACGTGCGTGCACGTGAAATGAATAAAATCAAAAATACACTTGAATAAACATATTTTTTAAATACTTTTGGATTGAATACTTTTAAATTTAGTATATAAAAATATAAGATTGTGTAGACAAGATGATATGATCATTACGCACATGCATTCACATGCGCACGCGTGCAATGCTAAAATTAAAATGAACTTGGTAAATTTCTGGGTAAACATTGTCAAAGTCTCAAATGCAGAGAGTTTGTCTTATTTAATGAAGCTTACAGGGAATATGGCACCAAAAGGGAGTTGGGGAGCGTTTGGGGAACATCTGTAACGGTCCCCGTTACAATTAGCACTAGTTGTATGTTAAGATCACATATAAAATATGTAATCATTTTTGGGTTTTTTAATTAATATGTGGGCCCCCCTTCCAGAAAAAAAACTTTAATTTTTCGAAAATATGAGATTTTCCCATTAATCACACCCATATTTTGCTTTATGCATGTAATTAGATTGTTTTTTTTATCAAGAAATTGGCTGTGTAAGGTATAATAAAAATTTAAGAGTTTATAAACAACAGGGTTTCCATCTTTGAGACATAATAACAAGGCAATAATAGAATTATCTTTCATATTTTTACTAGCACTTTTTCAGGGAGAATATCTACTAGTCTCTTTAATCTAAAACTCATCCTTAAGTATGTTATGTGCAGTAATCAGACAATTTATTACATATATATGTCCACTGGCAGCAAAAGAGGACGTTTTGATGTACTCCAGACTGTTTTGCTTAATCTGATTAGTCAACTGTACAAAATGAACAACTTTCAACAAATCAGTTGAAAGAAAATGAAGTGATACATGTAACAGTAAAAACTTTATCTCTGAGGAAAAAAAAATTGTGCATCTGATAAATAAGTTGTCTGTTAATTACGAGTACATGACTGTATGGATGTGATCAACAGGGAAATATATTTCTTCATTGGAGAAATAGAAAATGAACAATGAGCAATGTCATTTATGTATTTAGTAAAAAAAATTTATCCCAGCAAAAATATTACTGATTTAAATATTTAATTTAGGGTGTTGATTGCATTTTTTTCGTACAGTAATATTTTTTACTTGACAGATATATTTTGTACAAGTTGGATTTCATTTAGTACAGAATCAATTCAGAAAGAATTCTCTTTCAGTTTGTTAGATATTTGGCCTACATTTTCTTTAGATTGATTGAACTATAAAAAGTAGGACTGATATGATACAGTATAAGCAGAAGCTTTTGCAAGGGTTTTGAGATTGCTAAAATTGAATATTTCTAGCAATTCATTCCATATGGATTGTTATAAATATCTTTCTTAATTGACATAGAAAATCATTAAAATTACTTCTCGCTTAAACATACACCAATTTTATGGTAAAGTTGCTTAATTTGTGTCTCATGTGCTATTTTGATACAGTAACAACATGAACAAGGTTTTATGATCATAATTTTCTTATAAGATGTGATATCATCATGAAACTTGAAGTGCATGATTATAAAATGTTATTCTTTGCTATGACAAGGAAAGAAATTTAATTAAGCAAAGAGAAACAAAACTGGTTTCCCTGTCTACTACTTTTTGGGACAACCCTTGTGTAGTGACACAGTCTAGTCATGAATCTTACACTATAATTTCCTTCATAGAATGAATTCATTTGTTAAAAAACTAATGTATGACTGCTGACTTGCTTATTTCAAAGATGTGTCATTATAAAGCCTGTTTAAAAAGATGTTGATATTATTGTCACAGGGAGAAGAGAAAGGTAAAATTAAAGAAAGAGAAACGAAAAAGAGACGGTGAAAGAAAACACAAAGAGAAGAATAACAGCGATGATGATGAACAGGAAAGAAGGAGAAAAAGGTGGAAAAAAATCGTCATCTCGAACAAAAAAAACAAAAAACAAATGAAATGAACAGAAACAAACTCCTGAAATTTGCAAAACTTGTTGATTTGGTCAGATTTGCAGTCAAAATGTAATCATTGTAAACAATACTCTGTACAAGCCAATTTTCATGTCTGACAAAAAATTATCTATTAACTAAAAATAAATATTATTATGACTCATTATTTTTTACCAAGAGTAGCTTGCAGGGCCACACTCAATTGTATTAAAATGTTTCGTTATATATGTATAGCCGACTCGTGTAAAATCAGACATAAACTGTTCAAAAGTATTGTTAATGTTTTGAAAGAACATCATATAAATTTCAATCTTTCAGTTTTTCTTCATGGGAATCAACAAATGACATACAGAATTTTAGACATGTATCCAAGTGTAGTCTATACCGTATAGCGGGTTATTTTAGCGGGGTGCTATTTTTGGCTTATTTTGACATTTTAATTATATTCCGCTAAAATTTTAATCACTAAAATAGTCAGTTCTCTTTTTACTGTCCATCTGCAAAGAACTGAAACTTTGCATCTGCTAAAATAAATTATGCCAAAATTATTGGCATACCTTTGAGCAGAATAAACGCCAAATTTTACACCCACCAAGAAAACCCGCTATACGGTTTGTGTCAAAAGTTTTATTGAAATCAAAACAAAAACGTAAGGAGGAGAAGCATTTACCGCAAACAGTCTGACAGATTGAGTCAACAGACAGCCAAGACAGAAGACAGATAATAACTATTGCATAAGCTCTTCTAGTCCCTGACCAGTAGTGTAAACAAGTGTTGATGTAAATGGATAATTTTCAATGACTGGTTCTGTAGCTCTGTATAAATTTTTCTTTTCCAAAGTCTATCAGTCATGATGGCCCTCTGTGTTGGATATTTTGTTTATGGAGATTTATTGTAGAAAATTTTTGTGTGTTCAGGTAACACAATACATCTGATTATTTCTGCTAAAATTGTTACTTTGATTTTCTCTTTACAGAAAAAAACGGGAGAAGTTAAAAAGAAAGAAACACAAACGTAGGAGGGTAGAGGATCAGGACTCAAGTGAAGAAGGACACAGCAAGAAGAGGGTGAAAACATTAAAACATAAACTGAGGCCAAAGCAGTCAGAGCAAAGTGAAAATAATAAGTAAAGAGGCAGAAAGACAGAGGCAGGCCAAAGGAAACGGAAAAATATAACGTACAGAAGAAGTCAGGATGGAATGTTAGTGTATGTGCACTTGTACACAATCTGTTTCAAAGAGGAGGAAACAAATGCCTGTATGTGCAAGAGTTTTATGGTGAACTTTGTAGGTGAATGAACAAGTTAAAGCTCTAGAGCTGGTTCATTAGAGCTGGTTCATTTAAAAGAAAGTGAAATTTTACTTTTATTTTATATTTTTTCAATAAGATTTTAATTAGATAAATAAACATGGCTTAAAAAACCAACTTTGCATGAGTTTTTAGCTCACCTGAGCCGAAGGCTCAAGTGAGCTTTTCTGATCAAAATTTGTCCGTTGTCTGTCGTTGTTGTAAACTTTTCACATTTTCATCTTCTTCTCAAGAACCACTGGGCCAATTTCAACCAAACTTGGCACAAAGTATCCTTGGGTGAAGGGAATTCAAGTTTGTTCAAATGAAGGGCCACGCCCTTTTCCAAGGGGAGATAATCATGAATTTGTTAAAAATTAATGGCATTTTTAAAAAATCTTCTTCTCCAGAACCGCTGGGCCAGGAAAGATGAAACTCATGTGGAAGCATCCTCAGGTAGTGTAGATTCAAGTTTGTTCAAATCATGACCCCCGGGGCAAGGATGGGGCCAAAATGGCCGACCCAATTTTTACATAGGAATATATATGAAAAATCTTTAAAAATCTTCTTCTCAAGAACCACTGGGCTAGGAAAGATGAAACTCATGTGGAATCATCCTCAGGTAGTGTAGATTCAAGTTTGTTCAAATCATGACCCCCGGGGCAAGGGTGGGGCCAAAATGGCCGACCCAAGTTTTACATAGGAATATATAGGAAAAATCTTTAAAAATCTTCTTCTCCAGAACCACTGGGCCAGGAAAGATGAAACTCATGTGGAATCATCCTCAGGTAGTGTAGATTCATGTTTGTTCAAATCATGACCCCCGGGGCAAGGATGGGGCCAAAATGGCTGACCCTAGTTTTACATAGGAATATATAAGAAAAATCTTTAAAAATCTTTTTCTCAAGAACCACCAGGACAGGAAAGATGAAACTCATGTGGAATCATCCTCAGGTAGTGTAGATTCAAGTTTGTTCAAATCATGACCCGTGGGGCAAGGGTGGGGCCAAAATGGCCGACCCAAGTTTTACATAGGAATATATAGGAAAAATCTTTAAAAATCCTTCTCAATTACCACTGGGCCAGGAAAGATGAAACTGATAGGGAAGCCATCCTCAGGTAGTGTAGACTCAAGTTTTTTTCAAATCATGACCCCCGGCCCTGGGGATAGGGTGGGGCCAAAATGGCCGACCCAAGTTTTACATAGGGATATATAGGGAAACCTTTTAAAATCTTCTTTTCAAGTACTTCAAAGCTATGATTAGTGATACCCGGGGTATTTATATGGAATCATCCTCAGGTAGTGTAGATTCTAGTTTGTTCAAATGATGAACGCCTGGAAGGGGGGGCGGGGAGTATATTCAAGCCCGATGTGCTCAGGTGAGCGCTGTGGCCCCTGGGCCTCTTGTTTGTTAATCTCTATTTAGTGCAAATCAAATGTTGGAGGTTTGTAGAAATCACCTTGTCTGTTTATCTGTCTGCAAATCTGTCCATCCTTGTAATCATATGGGTAAGGACACTTTGATGGAGTAATATTGAAAGCTCATAGTCATACTTAACACAAAGATTGCTAATGAATTCGGGATCTAAATCTTCACTTGAGTAAAGGTCATCTGGATAAAGAAAAAAATATTTCTGCTCTTATGCTGTTTTTCCTGAAAAAATATTGGAGCATAAACACAGCACAAAAATTGATTTTAGTCTAAGAGTATGTCTTGACCTTGACTCAAGGTTATTTGGTCAAGTTAACTGGTTTATCTTATAATGAGGAAACATTTAGATACTAATACCTTTTAAAATAGCAAAATGATTTTCTATGAACAAGGGATGTGTCCAGACTTTGATTCAAGGTTATTATTGTAGGTTGCTGGCTCAAAAGTTCATAAATCTCCATGAAGAAAAGTTTATACATAAAAAAGAATTAACAAACATTGATTTTGACCTTGGGATATGTCATGCTCTTTATACAGTAAAACTCGTATAATACAAACAGAGATATTGCGAATTCACGGATATAGTAAAGTTGTCTTGGATGCCCAACTACACAAATTTAACAAATTCCTGATACTGATATATTGAATTACGGATATAGCGAAGTAATTTTCCAGGTCCTAGTGACTTCGTTATAAGCGAGTTTTACTGTAAAAATGTTTTCCCATCAAGTTTAAGGTCCGAGGCCAAAAAAAAAATAAATAAAAGAAGATGGGGGTTTAAGGCGGACGAAGTGTCTGTATTGTGACAAATATGAAGTGAAAAACTAAATATCAATTACTAGTATATCCAAATTTTCTTTGATAGTTCATCTAACATTAAAGTATACTTAATAAAAAAATCTCTATCATTTACAAAAATCTCACAAAGACTGAAATTATTTGCCTATGAAGAAGCATACACATACTTAAAAGAACAAAAAAGATCATTTTTTCATACTTGAACAATTTTTTTCAATATGAGTGGGTCTTCTCTCCAATTTTTGGAAAAAATAACCATAAAAGTTTGAAATAAAATATACATTTTTTTGGTTTACAAAAACATGGAGCAAACACCCACTATTCTTTAAAAGTACACTTTTACTACATAACATTTGCATTTTTCCGAGAAATACTCCAAGACCGTTAAGTCAAGGGTCATATCACAAACATGTATGATTTAAATTCCATTTCATCATTTTTCCGAGAAATACTTCAAGGCCGTTAAGTCAACGGTCATATCACAAATATGATTTAAATGCCATTTCATCTTGAGGCATGTAGCTATACAGTGTATATCATGTCTGTCTTCCGTCCTTCCATCACATTTTGGGTTTAGCTCAGCTCAAAGCTGAGTTTCAAAGAAAGTATCCAAGATATTTTCATCCAACCTCACATGCTGATAGATATTGATGAGAGCTATGCAAATGAGAGCTATCAACGTTTTTTACTTTTCCTTTGACCTTGACCTTACTTTTCATAAATTAGTGTGTAGCTCAGTTTTAAACATACCATTCAAGACGGTGTCTTCAAACTTTAAATGTTGATACATTCTGATGAGAGCTATTCAACCGCATCACCATTTTTTACGTTGACCTTTCCTTTGACCTTGACTACACTTTTCTTAAATTAGTATTTAGCTTAATTTTAAAGAAACCTCCAAGATATTTTTATTAAACTTTATATGCTGATAAATACTGATGAGAACTATGCAACTGCATCAACATTTTTGACATTGATCTTTCCTTTGACCTTGACCACACTTTTCTTCTTAAATTAGTGTTTAGTTAAGTTTTAAAGAAACCATCCAAGATATTTTTATCAAACTTCGAATGTTGATACATTCTGATGAGAGCTTTTCAACTGTATCACAATTTAAATTTCTGACTACACTTTTCTTAAATTAGTATTTAGTTCAGTTTAAAAGAAATCATCCAAGATATACTGATGAAAGCTATTCAACTGCATCAACTTTTTTTTTACATTAACCGTTACTTTTACCTTGACTTCGCTTTTCTTAAATTAGTGGTTGGCTCAGTTTAAAGGAAATCATACAAGATATTTTTTCATCTAACTTCATACGTTGATACAACTTTTCAACTGCATCAATATTTTTTTTACCTTGGCCTTTCCTTTGACTTTGACCTCACTTTTCTGAAATTAGTGTAAAACTTCATCTGCTGATACATACTGATGTAAGCAATTCAACTGCATCACTATTCAAGATATTCTGATCAAATTTCATATACTAATACAAATACAAATTTTCATATTGCATTACTAATATTCCCTTGGCATGGCATTCATGTCCTATGGACATAGTTCTTGTTATTGCTAGAGTTAGAATCGCAAGTATACCATTTTATATTTTCATAAAAGAATAATTTTTTCCGAGATTTTTTTTTCTTTTAGAAAAGGTTTGTTTCTCATAAATTTATAAACTTCAATAATGAGAACTTAATTTAAATACTCAATTCACAAACTGAATATGATATTTTAATATCTGAAGCTATAGGCATTCTGCACGCCTTGTTCCCCTATCTTCTTTGGTCATAGCTTTCAAATGTAGCAAAAGATTGCTTATGACTTGAATGAGTTATAATGACATTTCACTCAAGATTTCTTATAATAATTTCTTAATCACTTTTTGAAAAGGATGTATAATTCCTTTCCTGACCATACATTGTTATGGAGAAAAATTAAGCTTTAACTTAAAGATTGCTTATGACGTTAAAACGTTTTGTGACCTTCACATCTGAGCAAATTCGAGGTCACTGGCAGAAGAACAGTACAACATTTCTCATTTAATCCATAATTCTCTTATATGCAAGAATGGAATTGTTGATGAACTTCATGTCTAGTCTATAACCTTTTCATAGAAGTTATTGAAAGTTCAATTTTCACACAAATTATAGTAAATATATTTCCATTTCTAATTTTTTTCTGTGATACTGAGTAACTCTTTAAAGTTAGCGTAGTTAATTTCTTGATAATTTTACCGGAATGTAAATTAGACAGGTCGATAGGTCAGGGGCTAAGGAGGCCTAATATGCATGCAAATCTCGTGCGCGTCTGTCTCTGTGTCTGACGCTAAGGAGGCCGAGATATGCATGTAAATCTCGTGCGGCTGCCTTTATGTTTGATGTCACTGGCCGAGGGCTATTGAAATTGGCATGGAGTCCTCGTGTAATTTAAATCTATGTCTACATTTTTAAAATCTAAATCTACAATTTTATTTCACAATGAAATGGAAATATAAGGAATCACTGTCTATAGTATGCCAGGGACATCAACGGTAGTGGGGAACATGGGATAATTTATGCATAACGAGGTTCATTTTTTAAACTATGGAAAAATTGGCAAGTTCAAGGTTATACTTTCAGGAAAATGTATATGGCACATAAAAATTGCAGTAAGAGTAGCACAAGGGTAGGATTTAATTTTCGTAAGCTTGATCACAGTAATGTCAGTTTACATTTCCACAAACACGACCGATTTCTTGATACATGCGTCTGACGATTGAACTATGATATAGCCTTTCCTATCTGTCTTTCATCATGTATGAAAATCATTTGGATCTTCACATTAACGACGAAAAGAAGTTCACTAATGGTCATATTTCAATTTATCATTAGTTAAGTTTTAGCCATGTACTAGTACCTAAACAGTGATACTGATACATGTAGGGCCCGGAACATGGTTGACCACTGTTGAAAACCATGATAATTCAAATGACCTCTGTTAAACAGTCCTATTTTTTATATTTAGATGACCACTGTTGGACATTCCTGTATTTTATGTGAGGTTGGCAATCCATACGCAAACATTTTAAGATACAGTGTTCAACTAACATGTTAGTATGTACAGTAACAGTTAACCAATAGGCTTTGAACATTAATATAAGACTGACTGAATCAATCCTACATTTCCCTCAAGAATAATTATTTATATCTGATTCACAGGTCAATTTGTTCCCTCACTGTTAACTGCAGTATCGACAAATAAACCCTTTCACATTAATTCATATGTACATGTAATTCAAACATTTTATGGTAGAGAGAGTTGCAAGTTTTAAAGTTAAAGTTGCACATTCCTTCTGTTATTATACACCTTAGCGTTATACATTGTACATCTCTTTTCTGTCTTGCTTTTTGCATGCTTGTCATAGTTTATAAATGAAATCAGAATTTTTAAAATGAATTTATTTGCATATATTATCTTTATCCTATACTGTCAGCGTTTGACAGACTTGTTCTTGGGTTTCTTTTAGGGGTATGTACACTGAGATACTTCCTTCTGGAGTCATATCTTGGACCCTTCCTCCTCTGAATGTTATGGCGGTGTGGCTGTTTCACTTCAGTATTTGAATCAGTATTTGATTGTACTTCAGTTTCTGTTTCAATTGAACTTTCAGATTCTAAATCAGAAATGTCCATATCCCATTCATTGGTGTTGTTAGAAGAAACATCATCTAGTCCATTTGTTTTTTCTTGAAATTTATCACCAGACTTTTCAAATTGTCCAACACCCTCAATCGTATTGATCTTTTTAACATCATTTTGCTGGCCAAAGTCTTCTACGATGTCCTTTCCACTTTCACTGAAGGAATTTTGAACGCTATATCGATTGCTATCTGAAATCGGAGATACATCGTCGATAATATCGGGCTGATCTTGATAATTTATACTTTTTGTAAAGTCATCTCTTATACCAAAGATTTCATTTTCAACTGGTGTTTTTCTAATTTCCTTTTCATCATTAGATTCTTTCCTCTCGTATTTAAGCAAACGATTTTGTTTAACAGGTTCGTGAATTTTAGTGGTGATCAAATCATTTTCATCGTCATCTTTTTCGTCATATGTTTCGATGCAGTGTAAATCTTGTGTGTGGTCAATATAAATTTGGGAGACTGTATTTTCACTGTGTCTTGCTGAATGTGCTTCGTTTGTGTCGTCGCTGCTCTTACGGGAATGTCTTGGCAACTGTTTTGACAGTGGAGCAATCTTTATGTCCGTGTTTCTACTGACCGTCAATTCTGGTGATTTCCTATCTTCCTTAAGCTTGAATGAAGTTCTTTTATGTTTATCTTCAAACATTTGATAAATACTTGTAGTTTCGTACTGATTTTCGTGGCTTATATTATCATCTAAGACATTTGCAAAATTTTTATCATATTTCTTGATGCAAATGTATTTGTGCCCCTGATCTTCTGTCGGGGTTTCTTGGGATTTCGTGTAGAAAACTGTGGAGGTTGGAAGCTCTGGGAATTTAAATCATTAAAAAACATTAAAAACATGAATTCATTAATTAAAAGTCAATAAGATATTTTAAAATGACTAAATACTGATGTGTCCTATGAAACTTACAACCTTATTATTGATAGTTTTAATTCATAAAAGAAATAAAATACAGGTTGATTAACAAATCCATTTTTCACTATTATCGATATCTAGCTGTTTAATTCATACATTAACGTTTGGTATATTTATGAGGAATGTTTTCGAAAGAGGAACATTGTATCTATCCAAGATGAAGAGACATCTTTCAATTCAAGATATCCCTTGATATAGCTAGAAGACATCCCCCCAATTATTAGTTTACAAATCGGCATACCATAGAATAGCAATTAATGTATTTCATAAAAGACGAACAATTCACAAAATAAACTGCGTAATATTGATTCTGGTAAAATTAAAATTAAGATCAAACTGACCTCTAAATAATTGCTTTCTCTGATTCTGAATGCCTCCAACAGAACCATGCAACAGAATTTCCTCGGCATCGAATGACGCAGATAAATCTTGATAAGCAACTTCTCGATGCAACTAAAAAATATATACATGTATAAAATTTTATATTTTTTTCACGGGAGGATATTCGGTCTGTCTGTTTGCCTGTATTTCTGTCCGTAACATTTTCGTTCCCGCGCGATATCTTGAAAAGCTTTTGCAATAAAATTTTACACAGCAACTCTATGGCTTATGAAAGAAGCCTTTTGATTTTGAGGTCAAAGGTCAATTTAAGATCATCATTTCATACATTCTGTCTGTTTAACACTTTCGTTTCGCGTGACATCTCGAAAAGCTTCTGAGCTTTTAAATTTCCAGCTAAATTTTATACCATAACTTCTAATGGCTATAAGGGAAGACCCCTATTTATTTTGACGTCAAAAGGTCACAGGTCAAGGTAATAAATTCATACTTTCTGTATTTTTGTAAAAATTCTATTTCCTAATGAAGTTTTATACCATTACTCCCTATGGCCCCGCATGCCCTTCGTAAAATGTCCTTTTCACCTTCGACCCCGCGCATGCTCTTTTTTCCTAAAGCGGGGACACCGATTCTCTGAATTAGCTTGTAAATAATACTATATTTTGATTCAAAAACAAAACAAAGCTTGGCTTTAAAATATTCAAAGCTAGAGATATGGAGTTGTAGCGTAACGTAATACTGAGCTGTCTGGAGCTTAGTCCCAACTCTATAGGTTATAGAATTTGCAAAAAGATGACTTTAAAGGAGGTTATTGAAACCTTTGTGACATCAATTTACAATGAAGCGCATTGAAGTGGTAAAAATTTCCGTGCGAATGGAAGGTTTTGAGCTATCTTTAGAACGTTTATTGTCATCTTATGACACGCCCATTTCTTTAGAAATGGATAAAACTGTCAATTTGTTTATTCGAATACCTGTAGAACAGGTATTCCATAAATATAATAGCCAATGAAATTGTCGGTCTAAATAAACACCGAGTAAACACGTGTTCGACCGAAACATGTGTTGTGGTAACTTCAATAGACATGATAAGTTCAAAAATATGTACAATGTACATATGTATGCGTTGCAATTTGAGTTTTACAGAAGCAGGGAGTCTCTAACTCTCTCTTCTAAATTTTAAAGCTCCATTTTACAGTGTAACTCATATTGCTTGTCGCGAAGATTGGGGTGTCCTAAAACATTACGACGAATATTTTTTTCTCGTTTCTAAAAATATGGGCGTGTCATTATGTTGTAACTGACGTTCAAAACATGACTCAGAACGTTTCGTCCACACGGAACATTTTACCACTTCAATGCGCTTCATTGTATCGTATTCTTGCCGCGGTTTAAAAACTGAGGCCTGTTCAGCAGAGCGAACGTTCGCGAGCGCTCACCAAATTTCCTTATACATGTATCTCCAATAGTAATTTTTTTTGCGAGCGTTCGCTCTGCTGAACAGGCCTCCGGTTATCTCACTCAGAGCCAACTTGATCTTCGTATCCAATCAGATTGGAGACAAAGGCCACATACATGTGGTGTTGGGATATTACTTGATAGATAAGGGACAAGCTGAATCGTTATGCAGTTTAGTTATTAGTAGCCCGTTGCCCATCTTCGCTAGCCAAGGGTTTCCGATCCGAAATCTACTCTTGTATAGATTTCGGATCGGAAACCCTTGGCTAGCGAAGATGCCCGTTGCCGTGTATTGTCAGTAAAACAATCAGATATCAAAAAAAATTGCAGACTCTATATCGTCTTTCATTTTGATTTCACTAGGAATTGTCAATTCGATAACAATTCGATATAAGAATGAAAGTAACTTAATGTACTGTTAACTAAATGCTGAGCTGAAGGCTTCAGTAATTTTCCTTCTCACATAGCACTGTCTGAATAAAGATATGGCAGACTTTATAGTCATTTTGACTTCACCGGGAACTTTTAAAAATATATATATGTAATCTTTTATACATCATTTTTGTCCCTGCTTTCGCGAAAGCGAGGGGACATTAAATCATATTCGTCTGTCCGTCCGTCACAAAAACTTGAACCTTGCCGCTAAATTTTGGTTTAGTGGAGCTTTGACTTTCATATTTCAGATGTGAATTCCTTGTAATAAGACTTTTCTTTGAGTACAACCAAATTTGAACTTTTGACCTTGATCTTGGAGTTTGACCCACTTTTACACAAAAACTCCATAAATTTTTACTTTGGCCATAACTTTTTAAACGGTAGATACTAGGACTTTCATATTTCACAAATATTTATTCTTTGTGGCAATTAAGACCTTTTACTGGATACCGACAACTGTGACCTGGGCCTTGGAAATTTCCGTACTTATGAAAAAAACTTTAGCCTTATCCATATTTTTTGAACGGTAAGGGCTAGGGCTTTTATATTTCACATATGTAATCCTTGTGACAAGACCTTTCACTGGATATCAACAACTTTGACCTACATTTAAAAAAAACAAACCTTGACCTTAACTTTTGAACGGTTGCGGCTAGGGCTTTCACACTTCACATATGTAATACTTCTGACTAGACCTTTCTTAAGATCTTAGAGTTTGACCTACTTTTCAAAAACTTATCCTTGGCCAGAACTTTTGACCAGGTGGTGCTATGGCTTTCATATTCCCCAATCGTATTTCTTGTGAGAAGACCTTTACTTTGGGTACCAATATATTTGATTTGCATTAAGCAAAGTTTAATCTTTACTATGTTGTCATCAGTGTTTCATCTTGTTCCTTATAACTTTTGACTGAGAAGAGATAGGACTCTCATATTTGACATGTGCATTACCTGTGACAAAATACATGTATTTCTGAGCATGCTATGATTTATAACCCTTTGACCCTTTGACCTTCACGATTGACCTTAATTGTAAAAAAAAAAACAACTTCAGTGATAATTTCTAGATGACATATAATAGGGCGTTCATATTTGACACAATATGACATAAAAAATGACACATCATCCAGAAAGACACCGAAAGCAGGGGGCCACAATTGTACAATTTTTTTCTGATCTGATAAATAAAGAGCAGTCAGTATAAAATAAGATTTATATTTCTTCCTGAACAATTTACCAGGCAGATCACTTGCAGAACATCTATATAAAACTTTAACCTTAGTTCAAGAGGAAAAAAGGTGGAAATCCATGCCACTATTGACTAATTGGTAAGATCTTTATAAGGTAGATATGAACTCCTACCTTGATGACTGCGGTTTGTATTGCCCAAATAGGAAGACATATAACACAGCAGAGGATGTTCTCCAGGGTCCTTAGATTCTCAGGTTCATCACCATTTGTAATCAAAAGTTTGGCACCAACTGACTCACACTTTGTCGATGTAACTTTTCTGCACCATCGCTCAACTGACCCATTAAAGGATATCTTGTAAGAAATTTTAGAAGTCATACATTAGGCAAGTCATAAAATCCTGTTTCATTTTATAAGGTCTATTAGCAAATACTAGTAACCGTTTTCATTCTAACAGCTAGGTCTACAAATACAAGGAACCATGCTCCTTGCTGATGAGAAAATAAATGGTTTCATCTGAGAATATAGTGACATTGAATATATTTACGTATACCTCAATGCAAAATTTTCCTTGTTGCTCCATGATTTTTGAACACCTCATTATATGGGCATTCAGCTGCTCACCAAGAACGCCACCAGTGGGCTCGAGCATCAGCAAACACGGGGCTTCATGTGGAAAGAGAATTAGGGGTTAAAAAATGTCCAAAAAAGTGAATTTTTCAGTTTCAATATTTCTTACTTCCAGACATTTCTCTTCCACCCCGCCCGGTTCCAAATTACAAATAAGTACATCTATTGAAAAATAATGTATTGCAAAAAAAGGTTCAAGCTATAAAAGACTGTTACAGTTGGCTATGATCAGTGGGTGGTTACTGGTTTGGGATCAGTGTCCTAACTCCGTGTCTATACTAAAACTGTTTAAAAACTATTTTAAAAGAAATTGGACAAAAAAAAAATATGAGGGTCGTTCAGTAAGTAATACAACATACAATTTATCATAATAAATATAGAAGCACTGATATTTTCTCTCAAAGACGTTAGATATGCATGCGTTAAGTTAACAGGGTTTTTGGAGGAATCAAAAGCTTGTGTTTTAATTTGGATCGCTTGCATTACCAAAGTTACCCTCGTTTTGGGCTCTGTAGCAACCTCTAATGATAAAACGCCGCTTAATGATACAAATAGCATTAAGCGTTGCAATTGCAACTCTTAATGCCATAAATTATTGCATTAATAGCTACATCATCAACCGCTAATGCTAAATCGCCGCTTAATGACAGAATTATATCATTAAGCGTCACAAATGCAGTGCAACACCGACGCTTAATGAAACAAGCAAATATCGACATATTCGACGCTTAATGATACACACTAGTGTATTATTAAGCGTTGCAGTTGTGACCCTTAATGATATAAAATTTAGAAATCGCTTGTTTTATCTAAGAGAAACACACATCCATCTTTCCTGAACAATGAGATATCACTTGTCAAAATATTTATATGTGCCCTTGTGCTATATAAATGGTAATTATTGAAGTTTTATTGTGTTTTCTATCTAGTCAAGGGAACGTCGTTAAGCCCCGGATGTTTAAGAGACAGATAGTCAGATAGCTAGAAGAAAGAGATACAAACAAAGGGATGAATAAAATGATATTCAAATCCTTTTAAAAGAACCATTTTTTTTACTGAAAATACAGAAGCAAACAAGCAATTAAATTCCTTTTAATTTGATACAATGATTTTAATACTCAACCTAAAATATATAGAATATGTCTAAATATTCCAAACTTTGTATTTTAGATTTGATACAGCTTAACACATGTCACTGTTAACATTTCAGATATACGTATCGAGAAATGAATTTATAATTTTCACTATAATTGTATTTTTAATCTGCTTCGTTTCTCCAAATTTCGATAAAGAGAGACATCAATATTGACAATTTATGTTTAAGTACAGTGTATATTAAACACAAAGAATACAAATGAATGCAATACATTGAATAATATATTATTTTGAGAAAAGGTTTATTCATCCTTTATTTGTTATCAGTTTCACTTGAATACATTACTGTGGCATGATTATTTTAGAATCAATTTTGAAAACTAAAAATACATGCATAAAATTATCAAATTATGAAAAACATGTCAAATGAAGTTGATGAAGCTGATATTTTTAAAATCCTAAATGACGCATACTTCATTTTGTAGTATATTTGCCTGTCTGTCTGTCCGTCTGTCTGTAAACAATTTTTCAAAATGCTACTCCCCCTGCAGTTTTGCTCTGATTTCAATATAAATTGGCACACAAATAGACTACACTAAGATACTTAATTTCTGTATCGGTTTTTGATTTCTGCCTTAGTTACTAAAGATAAAATAATATAATAAAATGCTACTTATCCAACATTTTTGGTATGATTTCAAAATAACTTAGCTCACATGTAGACTACACTTAAAGATATCGGTTTTTGGTTTCGATCAACGGTGTTGCCGTGGTTACTAAAATAAAAATTTCTGTGAAATTCATTCAAAATGCTACTCCTCCTACAGTTTTAGTCAGATTGTAATATAATTTGGCATGCAAGTAGATTACATGGCATACACTATTATCAGTTTCGTGTTTTTGAGTTTGTTGATTGATGTTGCTATGGTAACTAAAGTTGAAAATTCTGTAAAATTTTATTGAAAGCTATTACTACAGACTTAATTAAGGACCGTCATTCTATTTATTGTTTTTATAAAGTTTTAAGCCCCAATTGCTACTTTTTTCTTCCTTTATTATAAGTAAGTACAAACGAGTAGAGCTACAGTCTCGACAGAGATATTTTTTTTCTTTCGATATATAAAACTAAGTTTACATCTGACTAATATTAAAATGAAGTAGATTTAAATGAATAGTCCTTTTTTCGGTACAAGAGAGACCCTCTCTATTAATGCATGTACTAGTATTCATTTCTTGTACCTTATTCTTTTAGAAAAATGATCCTGTTTCATTAATAAATATTTTATGTTGGTTAAGGTAGGATTCTTCTCACATTTCTTGTATTTAAAATTAATGAAATGTTCACAGAATCAACAGGACAATATTTGTGATGGTATCAGTAAGAATAAATTTGACCGTTTAATATTAGAGGCAAGGTCAGGTCAATTTCATTACCATTTTCCTGGACATTAAGGTCAGACGACACGTTTCTTAATAATATTTAGCATTCTCTTCTGATATCTACATTGTTTTCAAAATGTTTTAAAATATAGGTACACCAAAAAATGATGAGATAGGCCGTTCAGAGGATTATCCATAAGGGTTATATAAGAAATATGAACCTTTGGTATCTTGTCTAAATGGCTGCTTAGGTACCCTTATTTTTTGCGAGGAATCTTGCTAAGTACCTATTCTTCAATGACATTCTCTTAAGAAAAATTATATATTTTTGAGGAACGTGTCGTCTGACCTTAACATTAAACCAGAAATCTCTGTCAAGACTGTAGCTCTACAGGTTTGTACTTATAACAAAGGATGAGAAAAGAAACCATTACCATCAGACCAAAACTGTAGAAGGAGTAGCGTTTTAAAAGGAATCTCACAGAAATTTCTATTTTTACTAATAATGGCAACCTTGCTCATCAAAATCAAAAATTGATGCACTATTTTATGTATCTTAGTGTAGTCTAATTGTGTGCCAAGTTATATTGAAATCAGACAAAAATTATAGGACAAGTAGTATTTTAAAAAAAAAATCACAGAAAATTCTATTTTTAGTAAACATGGCAACAGTGTTCATCGAAAACAAAAACCGATGAAATAACCTATGTATCTTTGTGTAGAATATTTGTTGCCAAGTTATATTGAAATCAGACCAAAACTGTAGGAGGAGTAGCGTTTTAAAAAAAATTGTTTACAGACAGACGGGCAGCTAGACGGACAGACGCATAACTATCGCATAAGCTCTTCTAGTCTCTGACCAGTAGAGCTAGAAATAACTGTTTCCAATAATGCGTTCCCTACTTGTAGTTCAAAAGATTATTTTTTTTTTATTTTTGCACAAAAAGATACCACCATATAGGGGCTATAAGATGGTTTTACCAAATTGACATGGGTCATTTAAATAAAATGGATATATGCTAATCTGAATATCCTCTATTTTTCTTAAATTTTTAGTAATTATTAGTTATTTTTATATGCTTCCTATACATGTATTTAAATTTTTCCAATTTTCACATATACACTGACACGCAAAAGAAACGCAACACTCTACTTTAGGGGGAAATCATTATGTAAAGTAAAGAGTTTTGTATCTTAAAATTATGAATATTTTCAATTTGGTAAACATAGGTAATTTAACGGTTGAACGATTTTCATACCGTACCGGAAGTCAAGTTTGAGTCTGCTTAACAGAAATCAAAAATTGCATGTTAAACACAACATTTGGCAATATTATGGAGTTTTACGGGTTTTTTACTGTTCATCATAAGTAATGCAGCAATATTACAAAAAATAAACTCTTCTTTCGTTTCCCGTAACGATGCTAAGACTACTTGAAAATGGCTTACATGTATGTACGCATTTCCATTGCTCTAACTGGAAAATTTCAATGCAAAGGTGATGGAGAGTTGCTGATGCGAAATTTCACTATATTACGCTTAAAACAGGGTCTTACGTATCAAATGCATTACGGACAGTCCTTGTACCGGAAGTCCAAGGGTGGCTACACTGCCCTAAATTAGAGAAAATTCGACCTAATCATATGAAAAACGGGCATTTAAAAATGCCAAAGAATAATTCCTTCGCTCAGATCTCGATACTAATGAACCTATTGTAACATAGAAATTAAGCTGCAATTGTTGTTTAGGGCAGTCTTGCACGTTTTACTTGAATGGCTTGGAGGGGGGTGGGGGTGTTTTAACAGTCATATTTTACTTAGTGAAGTAAACAGATAAGCATTTAACGTTTTTTTTCAAATCTCTGATGTTTTGAAAAGTGAGTTTAGCCGTACTTTATTCGCTTTTGAATAAAGGTACAACATGATACAAAAACTAGTAGTTTTGATCGTTTACTAAGATAACACTTTTTACGGATTTTTGGCTCAAATATGTCATTTAAAAGCAAACATAGTTCTAGTATGTGTGAAAAATCTTATTTTTTGATATATTTTGAAACTTAAGTCCCTTATTATTAATTTAACTCACATTTGAAAATTTCATCTAGTCTTTGATTGCGTAAGAATTATAACTAAATTCAATGTTCTATAATAATTTTAGAGGCAGAGAAGAAGATATTTTCATACGCCACCATTACGCCAAACATATAGTCCCTGCTAGTTTTAAAACGCAGTTTACCATTTCTATTTCAAGTTGTATAATTCTAATGAGGAAAGAAAAATATGGTCTTTTAAACCTCTTACATCTAAATATATGACATATCAACAAATACACTTTGAATATTCCATCTAGTCAGAAACAAGAGAAGAGCCCTTCTTAAGTTAAATATGTTTTTGGGAAGATTTGGGATTTTTTATTCTCCATTTTGGAGGCCCTCCTCTTTACTTGAAAAATTTTGCCACAGACTTGCTTTATATGCAACTTACGTTTCTTTTTATCATCTAAATTACATGTGCTACCCCGGGTCTTAAAGTAACTATTTCCAATCAAGGTATTGTTTTTTTA